CGAATATTTGTTTGCGACGTGTATCAAATGCGTAGTATGGTTTGTCAACCACTTATTTGTGAGTACAAGCTTCAATGAACCGTGAGAAAAAGCCGAACTCTTTCAATGATACGTCACCCTCTTCTCGTGCATGGGATCATAGCAGTAACGTGATGAAGTTGATTTTGCGAAGAAGGGTGATGGGGCTCCGTTAAAAGGGTGTTGGGGCTCCGTTAAGGTACATCGATGGGACACGCCTCACTCAATGGAGTGTATGGGGCTTTATATTGTGAAATATTAAAAAATCAATGTAAGCTAGACCAGATCGATATGCGCAGCGGGGCTGCCGTAACTCTTTGCGTAGAAATAGCTAAGCTTAGGTCACCGACCTCACGTTCTATACAAGAACCAGTTCGAGTGTAGTGGATCGCAATCCGCTACATCCAAGAAAACTTAAAAACTTAGCCTAGGTAAAGACGCTCTTTCTTCCAAAATTGAAACTGTATTCGGGCCGCCAATATCTAAAACCTTAGGTTTTCTCATCTATATAGTAGAACCTAATTAGTATGCATTATTACTGGCAGTCTTGCCACGTAGTGGCTTCGTGTTACGGTGTAGCCACACCATGGTGTGATTACACCGACTTGTGTAATCGACACCTATGTACCGTCGCACCATGCGTGACCCGCCCTTTCATACAAGGGTACGCGTAACCCCATTACAATATGCCAACGATACTTTGAGATAATCTAAAAGCAATGCTTACTCATATACCGCCCGTCTGTCACACAAATAACACTCGAAAGTGGGCAGCTCGCAATTGGAGAACACCGTCGACCACAATGCCTGTGAGATCCTGCAGCGGGCTGCCGTAGTTTTGCGCTTGAGGAAGCGTCTTTAGGTCACCGACATTTCCTTCTAAACAAGAACCAAGTACTAGTGCAGTGGATCGCAATCCGCTGCCTTTAAAGTACTAAAGCCCTACCAAGGCAAACGAACTCTTCTGTTCAAAATCGAAACTGATTTTTATTCATATTTTTATCCTAATGTTAAAAGTTTAGATTTTCCTAAATACTAAATATATAGTAAAATCATAATACATCCATAAGTACTGGCTACCTAGCCCCGTACCGTATTCTTGTTTGGGTGTGTGGTCCCATCGCATGATGGGACTGCACAACTCGTGCGACACACACCCTTGTTATTAGGGTTCGTGTAACCCCGTTACAGATTCACTCAGACTACAAACCAAGCCCCCGAGTGCAAAGCACCTGGCCTCTAAGCGATACCTTTGTGCTCTTTCTTACCAAGGCGAAGAAGGGGGCTTGATGTGGGGGTGACGCGAAAAGAGTAACTTTTGTCTACACTAACCGAGATAAGGTGGGTGCAAGCGATATTATGTGGGCCTGTGAAAGACGAACCTGGGGCGTAACACCAAGACATGGTTGTGTATTCTTTATCTAAACTTTGGATATGGCAAAGTTGCGAGTCTGCTCCGCTTGAAACAACGCGACGATCATACACGTAAGAATTTGTCAACCTTCATTAAGAATTGGAGTTTCTTAGGTCGCACCACGGTCGTTGTGTCTGAGACCAAAAGATCCAGGAGAAAAATTCAGCATCGATAAAGCTGGTTCTCAACCTTGCTAGATTATAGGCGGATATAGAATGGGCTGTTCTAATTAGCGGGGGTGTCAACTGTATGTGAGTCACTCTAGTTTTGCGGACGCCCCTTTCTTTTCACTAAAGGACTTTTTTGACACTATGCGTCTAACATTGGCGAGTCAGTGAATGCTGTCAATCCTCTGAACGCAACAAGTCAACCTTTTCAGACATTATTGAAAAGGTCCCCTGGGAACTTTCTTTCATGTTAACGAAAGATAAAATGATTTTTTTCCGAATTTATTTGTAAAAGGCTATCATCGAAATAATTACCGATTTTTCGAAACAACGTACTCTTTATCGTGGAGAGCAAACAACAGGGCTTATATCGTCGACTACGAAGAGAGAATCTGCTCATGCCTTCTGATCAAGCTAATATGTGTTTCTTGCCTACTTCCCATCATGCCATTTGTGATATTTGGTTAGTGTGGATGACTGTATCGACCCTTGCTTTTCAATGAAAATGTATTGAGATGGACAAGTTTTGTACCTTTATGTGAGCAAAAAAATCAATCATTCTAGAGCTGCTTCGCCACATGGTAAACGAAGATGGAGAAGTTTCGAGAAAAAGCGCATAGGATATAAACTGATCCAGCTTCAGGTTGCCTCGCGCATTGCTCCAATTGTGGTGGCTCGGGCCACTATTACTCATTGTTTGATGAGTATAGATTATGGCCTAGGTCTGTGTGGCAGACAGCAAGTGGTTTGTGAAGATTTGCGTGGCAATTCAATAAGTAGGAAAAAGTATGGAAGCATGTAAGTCGCTTTCTTTTTCAATTATATGTCACCGTTGAGTTAAGAGCAAAGCTAGTAGTCTTTAATCTGGTAGGCTTTGGGTTTCGCTCATGGATGAAGCTTTCAAGCTCTTCTCCTGCGAGTGAGTTAATGCGGACATGCAATGTCAAATCTACTTCTGTGCATTCTGCACGGCATGACGTTGCATGTGGTAGTGCTTGCCGTCAAATTGACTACCGTGACTTGGAAAAAATGTACATTCGGTGAGGATATGGTCACTAATTGTAGTCGGCATAACAAGGCATGCTTAACAGACTTCAGTTTTAAGCCAGTCCAGAGACGATAGCACAATTCGATACCCAGAAAATGGAAGCAGTAATCGCTTGTATGATGGCGTCCCGTAGTTATCATAATGCCCTTTCGAAATACCTTCACAAACGCCTTAACCAGTCAGCCGTGGGAACATTCACAGTAAGATTGCCGAAGCTAAGCGTCAGCACTTTGAGATCAGGTACGGGTTATCCGTTTATCCCTCTTTGGGCAAGAGATATCACGATGGACATCAAATGAGCCCTGTCCCAGGTGGGGCTTCTGTGCGTAGTGATATCAACTACAAACAGGGGGAGCTAAGGACATAAATGAGTTTTGACTTACGGTGTCTGTTTAACCCCGATATGGAGAGTGTTGAAGTGGCAGATGTCTCGAATGCTTGCACCGCTTAGCAATACATATTGTGTGGGATCACACTTTATTTTCACTCATCAAGTGAGGCGAGTAGTAGCGATTTCTGTCCGTAAATGAATTAACTAGAGCAACAGCAGACCTTCCTCTGAAAACATTACACTACCATTTCCATTCTGGGTACTCAAACTGGTGTGCCCGATCCAAAGCCCCCTGCGTATGCTTTACCTCTTTTGAGGAAGTTGTACGGTACATTGAGTGCAAAGTACAGCTTTTTGTCGTGAGTGTCGGCCGGAGTGCAAAAGGTGTAGGCTTTATAAGCGCCAGAAACGATGGATGTCAGCCAGGCCACGGAAAAGAAACTTTTCGCTTACCAACCACATTTATGATACTTGTTAAACTTGCGTCTGTGTCACTTCCGAGCAGTTCGACCACCCGTGTCCCCCACTTATCCTGAGTGGAATAAAACAAATCATCTAGCTCCCACACCAGGTTGACCGACGAACCTCTTGCGGGAACGTGTCGTGTCATTGTAGTTACAAGGCGACCTACTGTGGGAAACCGAATTCTTTTATATTCCGTTGAGGTTGAGGTCAATATATTTCAGCTCCAAATGGGGCGACACTTGCTTAGAGATCTCAGCCCACGGTTGTAAGTACCAACCCTAGTATCCCGATTCTTCTGAAGCCGTTTGAAGCTTCAGTAGAGACTCAAGTCTCGTGCAATTATGTGCGACGCGCGACTGTCGAAACAGTAGACGGCACGTGGAGACATTAAAGATGACAAATTCGGATTCAATCTTCGTACGTATTTGGAAGGGACCATTGTCGAAGTTTTTTCTAGCTATTCTTTGCAAAATTGAAAGTATCAAAAACATAAAGCTCTGCTCAAATCTGGACCTAATTTGCGATATGATCTTACTAGATGTATGGTGGGGCTGGAACACCATAATCGATGGATAGGCCGGAAGAGAAAATTATCAGGGGTCATGCAGTTCTGTCCTAGTATATGTTTGCGATTCGTGATCCCAATATATAAAAAAGCGCTTTTAACTCAGCTCTCGATAGCGTTGGTGCAGCATATTGGGTAAGTCCGAATCTAATAGCAGCGATGTTGCAACGTGCTTTGATCCATGCTTGAAAGCACCTAGAAGCGGTGGTTAGCGCAGATATTCCAATTGAACAAAGTTAGCGATGACGTGTTGCAGCCTCTAGATCATATCCCTGATTAAATACAAATGATGGCAATTCTTTGCGGCTGTGAAAGTATATCTTTGATAAGATAAAAAGTTACAGCTAGAATCTGGTGTTTCTTAAAATTCGCCCCCGTGATATAGAAAAGAGTGGCTGTATGTTGTGGCCTTAACAGTTTGATTCCGTGAAAATGAGTCAGAGCCGTTCATTGGCGTGGTTTTAGTAAGTCGTGAGTGATGTGCCAGGCACTTCACTCACGACTTACTGACAATATTAGTGGTGGTGCATCGTTAGCGGTACTAAGTTACAAATACCATATGATCAAATACTATGCGAAGCAGTGCAGCTTCACGAGTTCGAGACAAAGAGTTGAGTCCCTCGGAAATGAAGTGACTGGTGTCCTAGAAAATGCAAGTCTTGCCTCAGTTACCAGAAGAAAGCTTTTCTCGAGCCTAAAATGGATGTGTGCAGTAAGTCGCGAGTCAGTGAAATCACCGGGTTGGTTCAATCAGAGCCAGAGGGGATGTGGTCTCAGCAAACTTCAAAATGAACTATTATTAAGTAACAAAAAGCTGTGTGTGAGGTGTGGGATGGCTGCCTAAAAGGAACTTACGAGTCCCGTTTCACAATTTCACGACGTGGTGACAACAACTTGGTCTGATTTTCGAACTGGAAATTTTGTCAAGGGATTGACCAGTTGTAAGAAGCAAAAAAACATCACATGACAATGGCTCTCGCCCAGGGAGCACTGTGTCGTCATAGACATTTCTTTTCGCGCGAAGCACGAAGTTGGCTTAGTGATAGATTAAATTTAGTTTTTGCGTCGAATTGGGTATGCCTGTAGTATTATAGTATGCTAAATACAGCCATCATTTTGGCGCAAACGCAAGGTTTTAGTAGTAGTAGTTGATAAACGCTAACAGAGACACTTACTTTGGTAGACACTCCGTGTTCTATACCCTAAGCAATAAACATGCCGCAAGGGCTTTTAGTGCGCGACGTAAAAGTGTTTGGTGATGTAGATATTTGGTGCCTATACAAAAACTGATTGAACGGTATGTATGTCCATATCTGTGTAGACCTGGGATATTGTATTTGGACATTTACTTAAACACTAGCGAACTGTATGCACATGAACAGATTAGTCGCCAACTCAGTCAAGTATATCACTTTTGTGCTGCGTAATTGAGAAGCCTTCAATCCAAAGAAGAGGCTTGGCCTGGTCAACTAATTATGTCGATACTTTACGGCCCCTCACCGTTTCGAAAAAAAGAATGTTTCGTGGTGCTGGGGTACCGTTGAAGAGTCCAACCGTCACGGTTTTGAAAGAAAGCCGATTCGGCCACTTTTTTGATTATCTAAAAGAAAATTGTACTCAGGTTCATATTTTTATTCAATTAGTTTTGAATTGCTATAGATCTCCGAAATTGATTTTTGTCTTTTTACTCGTTTCAAAAGACCTTTTTGTTTCGGAAGAGGTTCTTGTTTCGGAAGAGGTTCTTGTTTCGGAAGAGGTTCTTGTTTCGGAAGAGGTTCTTTCCATCTCTTTTTCAGAGGAAGGCTGTCAGTTGGGATCACATCTAGGATTCTCTCTTTTGGAAGAGTGATACTGCTCCATATCTTATTAACATCGAATGAATTCGGGGAAATTACCTGTGACAGTTTTCGTGTGCGACCGATGCAAGTTTATCGCGCTCTTCATCAACAGGAACGAAGTCGCGTTCGCGAAGACTTCGGGATTTTGACGGCGTGGCCGAAACATCACGCGACTCGACAACAAAGTTGTAAGGTTGCTGAAGATCAGGATGATTGACTTCTGCTGCTTCGCGTCGACTGACTGTGACAAGCATTTGCAATTGCGACGACGATTAAGCGGTACATTGAGGGAGCTGATCGGACGGAGAGAGAAAGTTTGTGTTTGAGTGAAAATTTTAAACTGAGAGCTCTACACACTGCGGTAGTCCTAACCAGCTATTTTCCAATCTTTCTTGAAGCCCCTTTCTACATCAGATCGTAAAACAGCCGGTGCTCCTGATGAACACTGACTTTTCTAGTGGATACAATTCGAGATTACAAACTTTCTACTATGCTTGTTTACTAGTAGTAGAAAGAATTTGATTTTCTGTGTTTAATAATCAGCATTACGACAACTGCGCTAATTCCAAACGTTTTGTCTTGCTGGAAGCTTGGCCTTCCTTCCACAATGCAGATCCCAGTAGCCACCACGTAAGTGAAATAGCCGTTTCATCGAGCCGAATATTCGAAACCTGCTCTCCGCCACATGAAAATTTTAACTATTAAATACAGTTCAAGTACCGCTGCAACGAAATCGAGAAGTTTTGATAGATGCGCACTAGCAGTCTCTAGATCTAGTATTTAATCTGTTGCAATGGTCTAAATCGCGTGTACATACCTCTGCTCGGGTGAAGAAACACAGCGATACACCTCACACATGAGATTCCCTCGTTCGGACTCAAATTGGACGCAAAAGTAGAAGGGAATATGTTAAAATTTTCACACCCATGTCGCCAGAGGATGATCACAAAATGACTTTATACTTGCTTCGTGTATAAATCTTGCAAAGAAACACATGTACTGTAGCCAGAGAGCTTCTAAGTTCTTCTCAACCTCTACATTAAATTCCATATGGAAGTAATTTGCTGGCTCAGTCATTTCATCATACTTTTAACAGCATGTCATGTATAAGATATACTTGAATCAAAGCTTGTTTAGTGTACTCATAACGATACGAGATCGGGTGGTTTGAAAGATGATGAGAGGGTGAGAAATCTGTTTAATCGCACAATTGTTAATATTTCAAAGGTTAATGTGTAAGCAAGTCGCAACGTTCAGTCTTCCAGCTAGTCTTAATGTTTAATCTTTGCACACAATCGATGGTGCTAGTGTCCATCTAGCCTATCCCGCAAAGAGCTATCTATATCTACCATCTGACCTGTTGGTGCACATTTTATGTGGTCAAGCCAGACAGCAATGACGCAAAGAGGCACGTCGAATCTTATGATGCATACAGACCTTACGTTCAAAGGCAGATGGAGAAACGCAGCCTGAGTCCTATATTTCGTGTAGACATGTGACAAGGATGAGTTGTCTTAACGAGCTGACAGAACAGATTACTTCGCACGAAAGTGCACGATGTGCAGATAGGATGGGGGATATCAAGAGAGGAATGGTCCTTAAGACAAAACAGGCTGCAAAGAAGTAGAATAATGAATGAGTGTGGAAGGATTGGTAAGATGGAAAGCGAATGCAGGTTGCTTTAAAGAAAGCCACGCATCTGCGAGCATATGCATTCAGGCAAGTCACATATTGCTGGTAAGGGTCAAAGCAAAGATGATGTCGTGTTTTCTGCTTTAAGTCTACAATCTTGAAAGATGGTTATCGTCAGCCGTCAGTATGTAAAATCTCACTTGTGTATTAGATACAATCACCTTCCTTTTGCTAATACGATGAATTTGACGAGGTGTTGATGGGAGAAGCCCGAAAAGCTCAAGCCTTTTGCCAAAAACGTCTCACCAAGGGCGATATGATTCCACAAACAATGAGATAGGTCGAAGCCTGACGAAAATATGCACGAAGGAAGCACACTGTGCTAACTCACGATCGCTTTTGAGTGCCAGAATTATGTAATAGAGTTCGGATAAGCCCATTCTTGTAAGCATAGAAATTTTGCTATTGTAGAATTATGATACACATTAACAGAATATAATTAATGCGCTACTTAATGTGCACACAAGTGCAACGTTAAAGATATAATCAAGTGTGTACGTTTACGTAGCACTAGTGTGAATTTGTAAATTTAGGAGCAAGTTTGAAATCATGTGTGCCTGAGCATTAGTACCGGAATATCGTTATATATGAAGATTTCAATCGAATGTACGCTGGAAAAGAGAGTATTCTTTTAAGATCGTGTGTATTTAGCGTTCTTTCAAGAAGCATTGATTCAATATATATAATCTAACAGCGTTGGCTTTCTGTAAGACTATCAGTTCTGCTCCTGCTAAAAGCACACAAACCCATCTCTGTGCGTTCTGTTAGCGCGGACATTAAGAGTCAATTCTTCACCTTCCTCTGAGCAAAGTTCACAGCAACCCCGTTGCATTTGGAAACACTTCAAATTAATCCTACGACTGAGTTATGGAAAAGACTGTATCTTCAGCGAGAATACGCATGATTTGACGTAATGCTTGGCTTCAGGGCAAGCAGGCCAGCTCAAACTGTTTTTGTATATCTTGGGTCCCGGATGGGGCTCACGAAATTGACGGCCAAAGGGCCGGAAGCGGCTATTGCTCACCTGGGAAAGCTGATCAGCCTTGACAATTTGCTGTTGAGGCACGTCCAGAGCAGACCCAACACTTTGAGGTTGCTTATATTAAGCGTGCAAGCTATTGAGAGCGTAGAAAGGGTCTGGAGGAGGGGAGTATCACGAATCCAGCCTTGCTTTAAAAGGGGCCGCAGTGCGTCGTGTTTACGATTTCTAAACTAGCAGCCATGCACGAGAACGGATAGAAACGTGCAATATCTCGGTCAAAGAGGCGCTCTCAACGTTTGGCGATCTATAACGACAGATGTTGTGGGTGCCTGCGCCACCTAACAAGACGTATCGGGTGCGTTAGAGCTCTTGTCTTTCCGTCAAGAGAGCAAAGTACTGGCGAAAATGTCAATATTTCAGAATTCCAGTTGCCATAGTGTCCTCTCCCGGTGGCAGTAGTGACTCCCATCAAGTGAAGGATTTTTGAATGGTGCGGTGGTACGGACTGCAGCGAGGCTGCCGTAACTCTTCGCTTAGAGGAAGCTAAGCTTAGGTCACCGACCTTAAGTTTTTTACAAGAACCAGTACAAGTGTAGAGGATTGCAACCCGCTAACTCCAAGAGTACTTAAAACCTCAACCAAGATAAAGACGCCTCTTCGTTCAACAATGGTACTGTACTTCATTGTTCTAGCTGCGGCAGAACCGCCAAAATCTAAAACCGTAGATTTTCCTCATAAAATAGCCATACCTAATTGATATAGTAGGACCTAGTTGTCATGCATAACTACTGGCAGTCCCGCCACGGAGTGGCTTCTTGTTTCGGTGTAGCCATACAATTGAGTGGATACATCGACTTATGAAATCCACACTTCGTACGACCACACAATCTTGTGTGACCCAACCTTTTATACAAGGGTACGTGTAACCCCGTTACATAGACACCTTCCACGTATTTAATGCGGGGGTCAAATCCCGTACCATGTGGTCCATGGAGTGTTGGGATGTAAGGTATACTATGGCGTCAGAGTGATGGACCTCAGCCATGTTGAGAAGTCAACGAAAAAGATTTTGGTTGATAGAATTGCGCCATTTTACACAGCTGAAATATTTGTAGTAGCACAAGACATCAACTCCTTGCATATCCCATTCGCTCTCGGCTGATAAGCTCGAGGATTTGGTCTCCCATGCAGGAGCACGACGAGACCCTCACAAGCGCACGGCGAAAACCTCACAAGAAAACGTAAGTTTCAATAGAAGTAAGACAACCATATATAAAGAAATAAGCTCTATTGTATCTCATGGACGTGGTAGTCAAGCGGACCCATTCATAGAAGAGGGGAAAACGCAGCCCATGGTTATTATGATTCACGAATATTGCGCAATTATGCATGATGCGCGACTGTCGAATACAGTCGGAGGACAAATGCGGATACGATATCATGCGTCTCGTGACTGGGACACAAATTAAAGTGTAGAGGATAATAGATCTTGTTTGAGATACGATCTATGGCGTGGCTAGAATTTGTGGGACATAGGTCAAGTCGAAGTCGAAAAAGTACATTGCAACATACTTCACTCCTGGTGGATCATTGTCAAGTCATGAGCTTACCTAAACTAGGAACAGACACACTTTGGGAGCAGACACGAAGCTGCAATAGATCCATGAAAGACATGGATTTAATCGCAGCTGATAACAACTGTATTGTTTGATGCCTTGATAAGAGCTCGATTGGCAGAAATGGTAGTAAGTAGCGGTATTAGGACAAGACGGTAAGGAACAATTGTATATCGCCTTCCCCAGAGTGTATTTTTGTTGACAAGAAACACCGACTGCATGTCGAGAATTCAAAGTGCATATCTAGCGAAACGGTAACGAGCCGCTGTGAATTGGTGTATCCTATGCTTGGTGGAGAGTGAAAAAGATCAGGTGTCGTAATCTCTTGTTCCAGTGCCAGTGGCTTTGAGAAGCAACTATTAATCACGATCGAAGGGATAGGTCCTAAAGACACGATTATTTTTATCATTCTTGTCACCATGCAACAGTATTGCTGAGCCCACCGTGGGACTCCACGGGTAAGCGGCAGAAAAGTTGATTTACTCGTGAATGGAGTGCTCGAGGTATTCCTAGCGATTGTAAATCTCCCCTCAATTTCCCCGGCAAAATCTGCCTTCGAGATGAAGAACTAATCCCTGAGGTACCTGTTCAAGGAGATCCAGACAGTGAGATTACCTAATTTGGATGCATTAGTTCTGGAGGAGACGCGGACTTCATCACACATGATGGGGTCAATCGCAGAGCATTGAGTACGAGTTGTGAAACAGGGGTCTCCAGGAATCCTAAATATCATTTCTACTCTTATTGAAGGGATATCGCGACATGGGGACATATACCACACGTGTTACACTTGCATAGGGTAGTGCATCATTTGTTCCCGAAATCAAGTATCGTGTCACACAGAAATGGCCCTTAGTAAGGGGACACTTAGTGACAAGTGTGATGTCACTAGCACTACTTCCGTATAAAGCACAAAGTGAGTTTGGTAAAAAAAATCAATCCCAGCCGACGTTCTGTTCAGAATGATTAACTGCAAGTTGCCATGCTTATCAATAGCTATATACAGCAATAATTCCAGCGCAAACGCCGATCCTTTCGCAGGATATGCTGTATGACAGCATAATCAGCTGCTCTTTAATCAGTGCCCTTGGCTTCCCTGCTGCTCACAATTTAGTGCTGATGCGAGACAGCAAAAATCTCTTACCGAGGCGAGGTTCTAAACTGGGGATGGCAATGATACAAAAATGCAACAGCGTTAATCAAACGTCTGGTGACACATCTGTTTAGTCTACATCGCGGAAATGCACAATTTTGTTCCGACAATATAATAACCTTTAGTCGTATATAGCACGGGAAGACAAATGTGAGTTCATATTGAATCTAATGAGCGATGCTCAAGCGTATGCGCTTGGATGATCTTTCCTCCAAAATTGACAATAATTTTTGGCGTCCAGAAACCTTTTATGTACTGCTATATCGATAAGCAGAGCTTGCGGTATAATCTGCAAAGGTCAAGGCCATTGTAAATCGGCTACTGCGATTGTTCCAAAATGTTTCGAGGGAGTGTCGTGTCCAGACTAGCAAGTTGCACAAGAACACTGCAAACTATGCCGTATGGTACGACCCCTAACTAATAATTTTTAAACCAATGTTAGTTAGTGTTGGGTGCGACGGAAAATGCGACTCTTAGGCAACATCGTATTTGCTTCAATTTTGCTTTCAAAAAAGGATAGGCCATTCCACGTCGTATCTGATACATCAGCCTATGTTATAGGCCGCGCTTTTCTTCAAGCCCGTTTCAATGAGCAAGATTGCGTGGTAGCGTTTAAATATCACCGTCTGAAAGCTGTAGAGAACGTTAACGAGTTCACGACAAATAAAATGCTTACAGTGTAGTATTTATCTGTCAACTTCAAAGTGCACTCGCTTGGTTTTATGCCATTGGTGTTATAGTCAAACCATGCGTCGTTGCGCTCAGTGAGGTCGCCATCACACTTCTCGTCCAAAATGGAGAGGCGTTGATTCGTCATTGCCGATTGTAACTTTGTGGTCAGGATTAGCTGGGCCAGCTTGAAAATGTCGCCAATGTGCTTTTGCGCCATCCCGACCATGATTTATCGCATGTCACAATAATGACGTCGTCAATTTGTAAGACGTCACGCACGTTGTTTTGCGGAAGAATTTGAAAAATGATTAGTTTAGAAATTCAGATGTTGTTTATCCAAGCGCATTATGCCTTATCACGAGGCTTGCTGTATCACAGCACTGACTTACATGACACTCTGGCTGAAATGATACCGCACGATCAGGACTTCCGGTACAAAATACTGTTCAAGGTGCATTATACCACTTGGGGTGGCCACCTTGCAAGGGTACAAGCATAGTGCTCGGCGAGAGATAGGTATTGGTAGCCCAGCATACAAAAGTAGATTAAAATATATGTGCGCATGTGTGGAACATCTCAACAAGTTATAAACTGACCGCAATCGGAGGCTCCATTTGATAAACTGCGGGTTCTGACAGAGCACTGGTAGTACGCCAGTACGAGAACTCTAGTATCTCAAATAGATGCGTCCAGTAATGCCGATATTGTGTAATTTGTGGACTGTCTACGAAAAAAATGTTATCTCGCTGCTGCCAGCAATAATACGACCGGTAAAAACACAGCTAAGCTGTTCCTCGACAAAATTAATTCGCGAGCATGGCTTGCCGGTAGCCATCGTGTCGGATAGGTATATGTGTTTTACAGCAAAGATTTGGTAAATATTATTCAAGAGGGTCGGGATCAGATTGACTATGTAAACCGCAATCGCGGTAAAGGAGATCATTGAAGCTGTAAACATCTGTTTTGGGCCAATTAGACTATGTGTGACCCCGCTTCAACGGATCGATCACGGTTGTAGCCAAAGAGGTTTTAGCTATATTTGATTATCTTACAAGGAATGCAAACACACCTTGCAAATAACGTAGGCTCGCTACAGCCATAACTTGAACCGCTCTAATCTGCCAATACAATTAATGCGATATACGACATGATTACTGGGCCAAAAACGCAGAGGTCTCGGTAGTGTGACAGTGCGCCACATCTCGGTGTTAGTAGCACGTGCATTTTTAATTACATCTTCATGCACGACAGTTGAAGCAATGGTACACACAAAGTTGACGACCAGAACAAGCGCAGGGAAATACCACGTGTTACCTGATAAGTTGTGAGCCAATACACATGGCTTTCAGTTGAAGCTTAACTCAAGCTCGGCACAAAGCCCACCGCAAATGCCTCACAAAATTAGTAAGAGCTCGGTGGCATGTCAAACGTTATAAATATAACTTATAAACTTATGCAAAAAACGTACAAAAACGCAAATTCCTTTCGCCACGGTTGAATTGTGAGTTATACTAGTCCGATGGTGTGGCTGTTGCGGTAGCTTGCCAGAGCGCCTTATAATACGAAATCAGTGTCAAAACTAAAATATTTACTAGCAAGCTCTACATTTTTAACTTAAGTTGTTTATGATTTTATCATAAGACCTGCGGCCTACCCGGGTCGGGTTGAGGCTCAATGAAGAAAACCTTTTCTGGCGCCAAGTTTCTGAAAATTGGCCGCCAAATTTGCTGTCACCGCAAAAAGCAAAACGTTTGACAGACATCTACGTTTAAAACAACTGAATTGGCTCCTGGGTATACTCGTCAGTAGAACTTGTGTTTTAGCTGTGCAACCCGTGGTCGACGTGAATACTTGGACTGGCTGCAAGATATTTCGTCTTTGGTTTGCTTTAACAAAGACACAGAGAGTATGTTCTTGCGCTCCCACCAGAAGCAGGATCGAACACCTCCAACAAAACCAGGTGGTTAATATATTGGCTATTTTAAAAGTGCATGTATCTAAAAATAATGCTTCTTGGTTTAAATTGTAAACAAATGGGCTCAAATTCTCCGCAATGATATTGTTTGTGATTTCTGATCCATTCTTTTCATACTCCATCATCTTCATATATTCCAATTTTCCGGTATCTATAAATATTCACAATAACGCCAAAGTTTATTGTAATTTTGCATTATCTTCTGAATTTTACGGACTCATCTTCTTGACTATCATCAAAATCCACGTTTTTAATCAAGACGATAAACGCTTCATCTAGAGCTCCTGAGTCTCCATCCCGCCCTGTCAATAGGGTGAGAGAAATGGACTAGGTAGCTTAAATCTCTTTAACCATCTATGTGAGTATACTAAAGTAGACCAGCAAGCACACTCAAAACGTGTATCTGCTCTACCAACCCACAACCACATGGTGTGTGGGCTGGAGTCCCCACTGACCAAAAAAGCACCTTGGTAGTATGGGGGCACGTAACCGTTCTCAAAAGGGCGGATAGATATCAGCATCACGTTAGAGAAATCTTAATCCTAAAATGTGAGTTCCAGTAGCTTAGAATCTCTAAAGCCATCTATCTGGAGATGGCTAGCAAGAACATGTCTGGTCTGGCCCCAGGCACCTTGAGCTAACTTCGATCATTATTTCGTTGAGAACGGACCTCAATACAGAATAAAGACCTTCGGCAAGCCATGTTAGCAAGATATTTTTTCAACTTGGCCAAAAATTAGTCTATTACAGCATTGTTGACAGTAGTAAGCTGCTAGGATCATAATGCTGGTATTTCTAGGCGCGTACTTCTAAAGACCAAAGCTTTTATGTTATTGTGGTCGGCTAGTATTTTGATGGAATCGACAGGCTGATCGATGGCTTCGGCGCATGCAGCGAGAACTTTGTCTGTTGACGTAGTTGCATACGTGCACGTCAGAGACTACCCGTTTGTAGACGCTGATCCAGTACTTTTGGGGGGGGGTATCTCTCTTTCCCAATTGCCATACTATGTACCTCGAAAACTATTTATCTCATCAAAAGGTACAATCTCTCGTTGCGCGTTGAGCTGGCCATGCCAATAGACACTATTAAAGCGGTGAATGCCCTCGAAATACACCTCGTGATCCAAGCTTCAACGGTGCAGCACATGAGGCATCTGAATCGATTGCTATACGTCACCATCGTGACAAGTTTTGTATGCTGCGGTGCCGAGGACTGCTTCTATTCTAAACGATCAAAGCGGTTTAATTCCTCAGTCTTCAGGACATTTATGATATGGGTCGCAATCAGAATAACTAGGTCTTGACATCAATCAGGGCGGTCCGTCCTTGCTCACAGCTGAATTCGCAACACACAACGCTAATTAATAAAGATTTTATGCGATTAATTAATTGATATGTAGTCACGCTCCAATTAAGTAGCTAAGAGTACTGGTACACAATTCTCTTCCTCTGCTCCACATACATGCCTCGACACAGGCTGAGAATCAACCCAAATGAACTAATGCCTCAAATGAAGAGACAGTAAAATTACCGTGATGGTAGCGATAGAACAGAGAAGAAGTCAAGCTCATCACCGATCAATGAAAAGTCCGCAAGTTAGAAATTTGAGTATACAGTGTATCGGCCATTATTGAGGACTTTTCAATTCTTCTGGCCTCCATAAAAGCCAGACACGATGGTGACAAGGAACCCGCCGCGGGTGCTGCTCAGAAAAATGACCTGAATCCCTGAACAAAGTACTGCAACACACGTAAGGGAATATAGATACTTCTTTGTTAATAAAAGATAAAAATCCTCACTCCACACTGATTTTCTGTGCCTGAAATGCTACAAGTAGGCCAAAATTATGCGTGCATTCAGTGTGCAATTTGCAGCTACCACTTTGGCGCGAAAGGAGGTAGTAAAGCTGCAGAACATTATCGTCGGTGCACCTCGTACAGTGCTATCGACTTGATCGGCGAGCATTACCAACTGCTGATGAGAATAGTTATATCTCGAATGCACTCCGAGAAATACGCTCTAGGAGCAATTGAGTATTAGCAGAAGTAGCCCAATTCACCTGCCACATATGGCCGATTGCTGATTTAGCTCATCGGACCTCATTGTAGACCTATTCAGACAAAAGATTTCGTCAATTGTCGTGCAGAGCTTCGGTTTTCAGATGATTTTCTTTATTTACTACTTGCAAATTGCTCCCGAATATATGCGCTTAATTAAGCTTCAAATCAATAAAATGTGGATATTTGGTGTGCTTATTGAAACGCATGATTTTGAGGCAGGTCAAGGTCAACGTAGAATAACATTCCAAAGCGATTTATGCAGGGAATTGGTCCGCCCGACTATTAGCACAAGTATAGTGCAAACGATACCCTCATTGCAAGGCCCCCACCTAGATTTTTAAAAAGAATGTCAAATGGTAGTAGGATGCTAAAGAAGAGATTGCAGCTCTGGCTGTTAAAAAAGCTCCTGGTCGACACCAATTCTAAACCTTTGGATCCGGATCAACGACTTTTCGATGCCTGCGACGCTTCAACTATTACTCACTCTGCGCTTTGTTTCAAGCTGATGACATTGAACATGAACTTATGATTGCTCTGAATAATGCCAGCTTAAATCGACGGACTGAGAACTACCTAGTTTCTAACGAAAATAAATTTTATGTAGCAGGATTCTGTCAAGTTTAGGTTACACATGCGCCGCTCTCGAAGTCATTTATAATCTGTGCAGATTATGTCTCATTTCGCACAGATGCGTTGTCGCCACACTCCGTGCTAGAACCCCACCACCAGATCAGCCACATGCCTGTTAAAGGTACACTTTTGAGATATTGTATAGAAGTATTCGGTCAAATGACGTTCAGATATTTGTCCTCAGATTAAGTATGGGCTCGAGTCACAATGGGAACGTTGCGCATCGACGGTGCGATATGTGCGGCGTGCGTTCAAATGCAAATATCGTACAACTTTGAATTTACAAGCAAGGAGAATTAAGGTCGGATGTCGCATTATCTCCAGCTTTCAAAAGCGCATTTACACCATAATTTTATTCAAGAAATAGTGTATTACAGCAAGCACAGCGTACGAATGTGCTTCATTATTGAAGACATATAATTAAACTTTGTCTAACGCGCGCGATAATTCTGCGAGTTTTTGTTCATTTGCAGCCCTTGCCATATGCTTCGTCATTCTGGTCATCCTGCCGGTTCTGACAGAGGGTTGATCTGACGAAAGAAGATGCGCATAATTATAGATCGATTAAGTATAGCGTCAATAACATCGTTACCCTTGCTAGCTAATCTTAACTGTGGCTGTCGCCGAAATGACTTGCCTGCTGCAGCTGTATTGGATCAAAATCAGCACTTTATAACAAACCTTTGCAAACTGTTTCAAGGCATTTGGCACCAGATACACATATCCACAGCAGGTAATTCAAAGTTTGATAGCCAGACAAAATGCGGCAATCGCGCAGTCGCTCCCAATTTGTCAAATCTAGGTTCAAAATCACTGTGCGCGCCCTTGCAGACTATATATCATCACTGATAAATAACTCGGACTCGCCTAATTGACACCGTCAGTGCTGTTGGAGAAAGGTTGCGAAACTGTCTCAATTGTTCTTAACAGTTCGGCTAGCTCTCGTAGCTCATTTAGTTATTTCATATCGGAGAGGTGTCATGTCATGCACCGAGTGCGCGAAGCTATGGTTTTGAGTGGCGAAAACAACATATAGTTGCTAAAGGTAGATGTAAAACGCATGAATTCGATATGAGTGATACGGCCATAGTATACACTAGCTACTCGACTACACATGCAAATCTTTGACCTTTAAGACTAAGTTGAGACCTGCTTCTATAGATTTCGTATCTGGAGTGGGGCTAAGTTCCAATCGTAGCTGGAATGTGGCTGAGTTATAATCATATGTGCTTCGAGAAAAGATGTGTTTATTTTGCCTGTCTCTATCTATAGCCGCGAAGGCGTGAAGCTTATTACTCGAGACTAGTCAATGTCTTAATTTTCGTTAAAATTGAGCTACCAATTGATAAACAGAAAATGACATTTTAGCTATTATAATTGCCTTGAGAGTATCTATCTGATCGCGTAGCTCCAAAAGTGCCAGATAAATCTTCATTTTCACACTGAGTGCGCATTGAGACGCTTTAAAAGTGTCTACGCGCCACCATAACTCTTGAAATATCGTGTAAGTTAGCCGCGCTGGTTTTTTTAATGATCACGATGAACCCCACTTTCATGTGGAACGCATTGTGAAACGGAACTTATATAGTGGTATCCTTACTACCATGGGATGGGGAAGGGCTACCCTTACCCAGCGAAATCATTGGTGGTAGATTCGGATTCCATTCCAATAAGATTGCTTTGGCAACGTTGAGATCTATGTATTAACACCCTCTCTGCCTCTAACTCATCGTAGAAAGGGGTAGAGTAGGGTGTCGAAACTTGATTACCACTACTGCGTGAGGCCCGACCAAGTTGAAAAAATGATTTTTGGTCAGTAGCGTACGAGGAACATTGGTATTAGCATGACTGAATTGATACGAAGTGATGGCGAGGGCGAGTGTCCACTAAACATTGGAGTCAAAGGTCGTATTTTGTAAAGTCAAATCTCACGTAAGTAGTACGAGGTTTGTTTTTCTCATTGACGACCTCAATGCTATCCCGCTATAGCGATACTATCTTCAATGTGAATAAACAGACCTCGGACTATTTACCTGGTTCCAAGGCTATCATGACGTCGGCCAAAGTGGTCTCACCTTTCTTTTCGACTTCACCAGCAATGCGCTTGTATATGCATTTCGATGTGATATACCTTATTGTAAGCGTATAAGATACGCTACTTGCCGTTAGGCTTCCGCACAAAAAATGTGGGAATCGAACAGGGAGATATGCTCTCACGCACCATTTCTGCGTCGTGCTTTGTATGGGAGAGAACGTTAATGGCGTCACACTGCTCCTTGGTCAGGGGCCATTGGCGTGTTACGCAGTCTTTGAAACCCGGAATCCGGTCGATCTCTTCATACACATCTCGATCCGGAGGTAGGACCAACGGCGGGTCTTTGGATACGACGTCATGAAATCCCTTAAAGAAAAGATAGTACGGATCCGAGTAATTCTTCAGGATTGAAAATCCACTTCGTGTGTTTTGCACCCAATTGGTGTCCTCCAGGTCAGCCTAATTCAGTAGTAACGACGAGTTAATTTCTTCGTTCGGTTGTATAATGACCACTACGGCTAAATCGCCTGCTTTCAAGGCTTTGCCGTTTGAGGGAGATTTCGCCCAGCTCGAGAAGTTCATCCACCGCAGGAATAGCCTTGAGGATGACGTCGCCGTCTTCCTTTCCCGTCACTCCGTTGATGAGGGTGTATAACTGAACGGTATCGTCTACAGTCGATACACCCAGGGACGACGCCCAGCGTGTTATTTATAACATACGGCGTCGCCGACGCCTCTCCGTCGAAATTGTACGTCTCGGCGAGAATAGTGGGGACACGCACTCAGCGTCGTTCAGTGATAACCCCACTTCCTGCTCCATCGAAGCCCTGATGTTATTAACAACATTCAACAAAGAGCTGCTAGCTCCGCAATCTTTGTATAGTGGATATCCCATCTGAAGGGCTTTGCTTAAGATGCCTCAACCTCGTCCGACCATGCCACTCTAAGCATGCAGCAATTGCTTCGAAACGTGAGTAGTGATCAGTGAATTACGTGCTATCCCACATGCATCACCGGGGCCTCAACGTTGATGCATCAGCCCTTGGCCGGCTATTGCATGCAGCGACTGATCGAATGCTTGAGCAGCACTCAGTGGATTACGTGACACTCCACGTTCAGCCCGCGAGCCATGCTCGGGACTTCTGTCCAACACACCTTCGGTGTTTGGCAACTCGGATACTCCGATCTCCAGCGCGTTGACCGCCCCGGTCCAGTACCCGCGACAATAGCGTTTTTTTCTTTATGGCAGAGGTGGATTTATGATTTACTAAAGGTCCACCAAGAGTCATACGCGTGGCGCCCAAGGTCTTCGACCTCCAATCGATCCATGGCATATGGTGTTCCGATCATGCCATACCAAGGATGAGGTAATACCTTGAGTCTAAGTCTAAGACTAAACAGCTTCCCACGCTGTCAAAATCAAGAACCTGCCACCGAGGCTCACAGGGACCCTCGGCACCGTGACACATGTCCCCGTCGCAAAGCGAAAAACCCGTCACCCAACCGCGCTTTAGTATCTCAGTAAACAGCAGAATTCCTTCCATCTTGGCGCGTCGAGCATAATTGTTCGATGCCTAGGAGGCAATCAGAATATCCCATGGCTTCTCAAAGCCCTTCAAGGTCGCTTCCACGACCAGCAAGCACGGCTCGCATACACGTTCCGTCTTCAAAATCACGGAGCTCTTCGGGGCTGTGCCCTGCTGACCTCTCTCTACCTCATTGAGGGTCAACAGAACTCAGTTTTTCTCCAGTAGGCGCGCCAAGTTTCATCGAACCGGCGTCCCGCTTGTAACCAGTCCGGTTTTTCCAGGGAAACGAGAAATTCCGTGCCTACTGAAATTTCTCGTTTCCCTGGGGAAAACCAGACTGGTTACACGCCTACTGAAATTTCTCGTTTCCCTGGGAAAAACCAGACTGGTTACACGCCTACTGAACTTTCTCGTTTCCCTGGGAAAAACCAGACTGGTTACAAGCGGGACGCCGGTTCGATGAAACTTGACGCGCCTTGTGCAGGGGGCAACCAGTCCAAAGGATGGGTGTCTCCACAGCCAACACACCGTCGGGTGTTTAAGCGCTGCTCCGCAGCTCGAAGCTCTCCCTCCTCTTTCCCAGCATAGCTGAGATCCATTAACTCAGACCCACTTGACGAGCTCTGAAAGTGTGCATTCCAACCAAGTCGCGTCAACTTAAAATTGAATTCGGCATTCAATGCCACATTCCTACTTTTTAAAAAAAAGATGGATGCACACGGGTGAGTTCGGAGGCCCTCCATAATGACGGTCACTGTGACCTCCTCGGGTCTGCCATACCGGCAATGCGAGTTCGCAACTCTTGGACAAAGTCCACCAATTCCTTGTTACCCTGT